AACTAACACAACCTTGTAAAGCATTTATACTCCAATAAAGATGTGGAAAAAAAAAAAATCCCACATGCTGCAACTGAAGATGCTGCACACTGCAACTAAGACGTGATGTGGCCAAAACCAAAGCAAAACAACAAATGAATAGATAAACAAAATGTGGTATATCCATACAATGGAGTATTTTCAGCCATAAAAAGGGATGAAGTTCTGCCACACTGCAATGTGGATGAACCTTGAAAACATGCTAAGTAAAATTTGCCATATGTAAAAGGACAAATGTTGTATGATTCCACTTATATGAGGAATCTAGAGTAGTCGAATTCCTAGAGACAGAAGGTAATATAGAGGTTACCAGGCACGGGTGGAAAAGGGGTCTGAAGAGTTACTGTTTAATGGGTAGAGTTTCTGTTTGGGAAGATGAAACGTACTGGAAATGGATAGTGGTGATGACTGCACAACATTGTGAATGTACTTAATGCCACTGAATTGTAACACTTAACATTATTAAAACGGTAAAAATTTTGTTTATCATAATAAAAAAATCCTAAAAAGCACAAACAACTAAGTTGGTAATGTGGCACCATTCCCCAGGGAGGATCAGCCAGGCACCTTGTAGCGGATGATTTCTTTGGATCTCTTCCTTCGTGGAGGGGGCAGAGATTCACCCTCAATGGAATAGACGCATTCTGAATATGGAGCTGTCTTCCCTGTCTGCACTACTTCTGTTAGCACCAACATCCATATACTCACAAAATTTCACAGAATGCCTTATCCTCTGTCCTGGGTCCTGGTATGCCCCACAGCATTGCATCTAGTCAAGGAACTCATTTTACAGCCAAGAAAGTACAGCAACGGGTTCATACCCACATACCCCTCACGGAGAGTCGACTGGTCTTAACTGAAAAGTGGAATGGCTTATTGAAGACTCAGTTACAGCATTAGTTGAGAGATAATATCTTGAAAGGAAGAGGTTCTGTCTTATAAGATGCAATATATACTTTGAATCAAAACCATTATGCAGTGCTATTCCCTAAAGCCAGAATACATGGTCCCAGGAATCAAGGGGTGGAAGTAGGACTGGTTCCTCTCACCATTATATCTAATAACCTACTTGCAGAATTTTTATTTCCCCTCCTGCCAACTTTGGGCTCTGCTGATTTGGGAGGAATGCTTACATTGGTTCCAATGAATTAGAAGATGAGACTACCCCCCTGGTCATTTTGGGCTCCCTATACCACTGAACCAACAAGGTAAAAAAGGAGTTCCTCTATGGACTAGAGTAATTGATCCTGAGTACTAAGGAGAAACTAGGTTGCTGCTACACAATGGGAACAAGAAGGACTGTGTCTGGAACCCAGAAGATTCTAAGGTACCTTTTGATACTTCCATACCCAATAATATAGGTCAAGGGAAAAACACAACATACAAACAACAAAAGCAAAACGCCCAAGGACTCAGACTCTTTGGCAATGAAGGTTTGAGTCACTCCATCAGATAAAGAACCCCAGCAGCTAAGGACAAGGGAAATATGGAATGACTAGTAAAATGAAGCCATAGATACCAACTACAGCCTCAGGACCAATTACAGAAACGAAGACCATACATTTTCTCTTTGCTTGTTATAAGCATGGCTTTATTTGTATATGCTAACAATTTTCTTCTCTCTCCTTCCCATTATTTTTTTTTTAATTTTTATTTTATATTGGAGTATAGTTGATTTACACGTTTTGTCAGTTTCAGGTGTACAGCAAAGTGATTCAGTTATACATATATCTTTTTCAGATTCCTTTCCCATTTAGGTTATTACAGAATAATTGAGTAGAGTTCTCTGTGCTATACAGTAGGTCCTTGATGATTATCTGTTTTATATATAGTAGTGTGTATACGTTGCTGCAAATGGCATTATTTCATTCTTTATTTATGGCTGAGTAATATTCTATTGTATATGTGTACCATATCTTCTTTATCCATTCATCTGTCTATGGACATTAAGGTTGCTTCCAGGTCCTGGCTATTGTAAATAGTGCTGCAGTGAACATTTGGGGTGCACGTATCTTTTGAATTATGGTTTTCTCTGGATATATGCCCAGGAGTGGGATTGCAGAATCATATGATAGCTCTATTTTTAGTTTTTTAAGGAACCTCCATTATTATTTTATAGACAGGTTGTTGGAAGTTAAATTTTACAGTTTAGCCTGTAGGTAATAGAATATTCAGTGAGACTATGACCAAATATGAGGTATATCATAGACAGCAACAGTTATAACTATTGGGAATGTGAGTCTCCTCATTTGGGGAAAAGGATAAGAACTTGTAAGACATATAGCTATGCCTTTTTTTTTTTTTTTTTTTTGCAGTACGCGGGTCTCTCACTGTTGTGCCCTCTCCCGTTGCAGAGCACAGGCTCCGGACGCGCAGGCTCAGCGGCCATGGCTCATGGGCCCAGCCGCTCCGCAGCATGTGGGATCTTCCCAGACCGGGGCACAAATCCGTGTCCCCTGCATCGGCAGGCGAACTCTTAACCACTGCGCCACCATAGCCCTAGCTATGTCTTTTGTCTTTTCTTTTTCTTTTTTCGGCCACGCTGCACGGCTTGTGGGATCTTAGTTCCCTGACCAGGAACTGAACCTGGGTCCATGGCAGTGAAAGCATGGAGTCCTAACTACTGGATGGCCAGGGAATTTCCTGGATAGCTATGTCTTATTAGGTAAAAATAGAATTGTTTTCAGAAATTTGAGTGTTTATAGAAGGGTACATATGGAAGCTGAGTAGCCAAAGGAATGGAATGCAACATTTATCAATTTACTGCCTCTCAAATCCTCTCCAAATCCATCCTTTTCTTCTCTGAGAAAATGGAGTAAGTCCTTTAAATATTTTTCCTTTACCAGATGGCACAATTTTAAGCTTCCTCTGTAGATGGCACTGTTTTTGAGGGGGGAGGGTATAGTTGATTTACAATGTTGTGTTAGTTTCTGGTATACAGCAAAGTGATCCAGATTATATCTATATAGATACATATAATGAAATTGTTTTTCATATTCTTCTTCATTATGGTTTATTACAGGATATTGAATACAGTTCTCTCTGCTATACAGTAGGACCTGTTGTTTATCTATTTTACACACAGTAGTTTTTATATCTGCTAATCCCAAACTCCTAATTTATCCCTGCCCTCACCCTTTCCCCTTTGGTAATCATAAGTTCGTTTTCTCTGTGAGTCTGTTTGGCAAATAAGTTCATTTGTATCATACTTTAGATTACACATATAAATGAGATCACCTGATATTTGTCTTTCTCTGTCTGACTTACTTCACTTAGTATGACAGTATGATATAATCTCTAGGTCCATGCATGTTGCTGCAAATGGCATTATTTCATTCTTTTTTACGGCTGAGCAATATTCTACTATGTATATGGACCCCATCTTCTTTATCTATTCATCTGTCCATGGACATTTAGGTTGCTTTCATGTCTTGGCTACTGTAAATAGTGCTGCTATGAACACTGGGGTGCATGTGAGATGGTTATTAATTGGTTTTCTGTTATCATAAGTTAACCATAAACTTTGAGACTTAAAACAGTATATACGTTTGTCATCTCACAGTTTCTGTGGGTCAAGAGTCCAGAAAGTTTAACCAGATCCTCTGTTCAGGATCTCACAAGGTTGCAACCAAGGTGTTGGCTGGGCTGTGTTCTCATTTGGAAACCTGACTGGGGAAGAATGTTTCCAAGCTCATTCAAATTGTTGACAGAATTCACTTCCTTACAGCTGTATACTTGAAGGCCCCAGCTTCTTACTGGCTGTTTGTTGGATGCTGCCCTCAGGTCCTAGAGGCCACCTGCATTTCCTTGCCATGTGGCCCTCTCCATATGCAGTTCACAACATACCTGTTTGCTTTTTCTTTTTTTTTAAACAATTTTTTTAAACTTATTTATTTTTGGCTGTGTTGGGTCTTCATTGCTGCACGTGGGCTTTCTCTAGTTGTGGCGAGCGGGGGCTACTCTTCATTGTGGTGCGCAGGCTTCTCATTGCAGTGGCTTCTCTTGTTGCAGAGTACAGGCTCTAGGCATGCAGGCTTCAGTAGTTGTGGCTTGCAGGCTCTAGAGTGCAGGCTCAGCAGTTGTGGCACACGGGCTTAGTGGCTCCGCGGCATGTGGGATCTTCCCAGACCAGGGCTCGAACTTGTGTCCCCTGTATTGGCAGGCAGATTCTTAACCACTGCGCCTCCAGGGAAGTCCCTACCTGTTTGCTTTTTCGAGGCCAGCTGGAAAGTCTCTCTCTCCAGCCTGCTAAGATAAAGTCTTACATAATGAAATGTAATCCTGGGAGTAATATCCCATCACCTTTGCCATATTCTATTGATTAAAAGCAAGTTATAGATCTCATCCACACTCAGGGAGAGAGGATTATACAAGGGCATGGATCACTGGGGGTCACCTTAGGGTGTATCCACCACATACTAGAAAGACATTGCAAAAGGCAAGAGCTTTTCTTCCTGGTTCTGGAATGCTCACATGGCAGGTTCCTACAGTACACGTGGCTCTGCAGGCAGCTGGCTCCTACAGCTGAGAGGCTTCTCTAGTGCTGGACTCTGTAGGGAAAATGGCTGCTTCTCCAGGGCCAGCTCCTGCAGTACACAGCGGTCAGCAGCACACACAGGCCAGCAACCTCCCCTGGCACAGACATGCCCTCAAATGAGGAACTGGGTCCTTGGGTTTTCCCCATCCCCTGGGGATGAGAAAGGATTCTCCTTATGTCTGATATTCCAGTAGAGTTTTCTTTGCTTCTTACTAGCCCAAAGCCTTCATTTCTCCAATTCCCTGTTATAATAATTTTTATATTAAAACTTCTTTGTTGAAATTACTGTGTGATTTCTGTCTATTGATTAGACTCTGACTGATTCATGGACCATGTTCAGTTAGGATTTGCTAGCCACTGACACTCCAGTGAGCGGGGCCTGTCCAGGAACTTTACATCTACAAATGAAAGGTTCGTCACTCACCTCTTTAATTTCTTTTAGGAGTTCAAGAGCACAGCTGAAGTCTGGAGGAGTAGCTAATAATTGCTCTTCCAGATGATCCCAAAAGGCATTGTGCATTGTCTCCTCGACCCTGCCTTCCAGACTGTAAGAAGGTTAAATGAACAAATTACTTTCTCTACTCAAAAACTGCCAAAGGCCATTATCTCCTAAGCCCCAAACAGTGTTTGATATGATAAAAGACCATTATACAGACAGGGAAAGGCCGGGAACTATGTTTGGACGGTAGCAGAGCTGAATAAGCTGGGGTTAAACTTGGATGTCAGGGCACCAGCACAACCTCTCAGAAGGGCTCCTTGTGGTTCCAGCACAGCCCACCCTCTGCAGTAGGAAGAACCCTGAATAGAGATCAGGCTGAACTTTAGCACTGATTTTGCATTTAGCTTAGAAAAGATGTGACTTAGTTTCCCTTTATGTACACATATAGCAATGAACTAAATGATCTTTCACTTTCTTATAGACCTAAAATCTAGGAAAGGATTTTCATTCTTTGATAACACCTGAATAGCTATAGATACTTCCAAATCAGCAGGTCTAAAATTGAATTCACTATCTTCCCCTTCCAAACCTGTTCCTCCTGTATTCCCAATTTCAATGGCACTACCATGTAGCCAGTCATGGAAGCCAGAAATATCCGTCTTTTTCCCCCCACTCAAAAAAAAAAAGGGACTTCCCTGGTGGCACAATAGGTAAGAATCTGCCTGCCAATGCAGCGGACATAGGTTCGATCCCTAGTCCAGGAAGATCCCACATGCCGCAGAGCAGCTAAGCCCATGCGCCACAACTACTGAGCCTGTGCTCTAAAGCCTGTGAGCTACAACTACTGAGCCCGCATACTGCAACTACTGAAGCCCACGTGCCTAGAGCCCATGCTCCACAAGAAGAGAAGCCACCGCACTGAGAAGCCCACGCACCGCAACAAAGAGCAGCCCCCAATAGCCAACTAGAGAAAGCCAACGCACAGCAACGAAGACCCAATGCAGCCAAAAATAAATAAATAAATAATTTTTTTAAAAAAGCAAACAAACAAACAAAAACCAGAAGCAAAGGCAATTCAATTAGAAAGGATAGTCTTTTCAACAAATGGTACTGGAACAACTGCACATCCACATGCAAAAAAATGAATCTAGATACAGATCTTACACCTTCCACAAATAGATCATAGACCTAAATGTAAAACATAAAACTCTAAAACTTCTAGAAGATAACAGGAGAAATCTAGGTGACCTTGGGTTTGGCAACGACCTTTTAGATACAACACCAAAAGAAAGATCCATGAAAGAAGAAATTGGTAAGTTGGGCTTCATTAAAATTAAGAACTGCTCTGTGAGAGACAAGAGAATGAAAAGGCAAGCTCCAATCTTCGCAAAGCACATATCTGATAAAGAACTAGTATCCAAAATATACAAAGAACTCTTAAAATTCAACAATAAAACAACCCAATTTTAAAACTGGGAAAGGTCTGAACTGACACCTCACCAAAGTATTGATATATATACAGATGGCATATAAGCATATGAAAAGATGCTCAACCTCACATCTCATTAGGGAATTGTAAATTAAAGTAACAATGAGATACCACTACACACCTATTAGAATAGCCAAAATCCAAAACACTGACAATACCAAATGCTGACAAGGACGGGGAGCAACAGGAACTCTTATTCATTGCTGGTAGGAATGCAAAGTGTTAAGACCTGTCACTCTGGAAGATGGTTCCACAGTTTCTAACAAAATTAAACATACTCTTTCCATACAATCCAACAATAGTGCTCCCTGGTATTTACTCAAATGAGTTGAAAGCTTATGTCCACACAAAAACCTGCACATGGACATTTATAGCAGCTTTATTCATAAATGCCAAAACTTGGAAGCAACCAAGAGGTCAATACTAAAAAGAAATGCACTATCCAGCCCCCAAAAGACATGGAGGAACCTTAAATGCATATTGCTAATTGAAAGAATCCAATCTGAAAAGGCTACATACTATATGATTCCAACTATAAGAAATTCAGAAAAACCTATGGAGACTGTAAAAAGATCAGTGGTTGCCAAGGGTTTCAGAGTGAGGGAGGGAAGAACCAATAGGTCGAACACAGGGGATTTTTAGGGCAGTGAAATTACTCTGTGTGATACAGAAATGGTGAATACATGTCATTGTACATTTTTCAAAACCCACAGAATATACAACACGAAAAGTGAACACCTGTGTAAACTTGAGTTAATAATAATGAATTAATACTGGATCATCAATTGTAACAAATATACCACATTAATATAAAATACAAATAATAGAGGAAACTGTGTGCAGGAGAAAAGGGGGAATGTAAGAACTCTATTTTCCATCATTTTTCTATAAAACTAAACTATGCTAAAAAATTGTCTATTAATATTTTAAAAGGAATTAATTTTCCTCTGACCTTTATTTAAATGATTTCTCTGACCTATAGAGTTAGACTAATAAGAAGAAAAAGAATCATTTGAAAATTCTGAGGCTGTACCTAGTCATTGCCAAATAGTGATTGGTTTTCTGGCATTAAACATCCCCCCTTAGTAATGCATGCTCCTTGTAAAACAAACAAAAGCAATACAAAGATGAATAAAACAAATATCAGAATTCCTCTCCCAACATACCAATCTCAATCAGCAGAGGTAACCAACTATAATCTAATAGTCTGTTGTGTACTGTAATTGTTCTTAAAGCTTTTCCCCTCACCTTATTTGTCCAATCCATCTTCCAAGTTCCATAAATTTTGCTTTTTAAATGTCTCTGGAATCCATCTCCTCCTACCATCATCTCTTACCTGGACTACTACATTAGGCCATTAACTGGTCCCTCTGTCTTCAGTCTTGTCCCTTTTTAATCTGTTCCCCACCAATTCATTCTAAAATCAATGATTTTTCTAAGATGCAACTCCGATCATGAGGTCATGCTCAAAGTCCTTTGGGGCTTCCCATCACCAGCAGTATAAACGGCTCACATGACCCTTCCTGATATTGCTCTACCTCCCTTTCAAATTTATCTCCTCCTACCTCATAATACCCTGTGCTCAATCACATCAAGATACTTGTTCAGTTCACACCATTGTGCCTCCAACATGATTCCTCTGCCAGGAGCATTCCTTCCCACCCAGACCACCTCTAAGACTCAAGTCATCATAGGCTAAATCTTCCTCCATAGGCAAATCTTCTCTGATCTTTAGGCAGCTGAGAACTTTCATTGAACTCTATTCACACAGCTCTGAGTGAACTTATCAGTCACCTTCTGTTATTCATCTGTCTCTCTTACAAAAGCTTCTTGACAGCAAAGACAGTGTCTTATTTATTTATAGCTGTAGCTACCTCTATCCCCGGAACTCAACATTTTTCCTGCCACATAATAAGGACTCAACAAATGCCTGATGAATGAATGCCCAAACATGGGATTTCCCTTAGGAACCTACAGTTGTAATTAACTTCATCCTATGAGCCCAAAGTAAAGCCAACTGCCAATAAGGAGTGACCTCGAACTCCATTTCAACCTTTTTCCTGATATAAATTTTGTATTACCTTACTTGAAAACCCAGCTCTGAATAGTACTGTTTCCCCTGCTTCATTTCTCCCTCTCTCATTTCCTCTACTCTTTTTTCCTCCTCTCCTGCCAGCAACAGAAACATCTAAGCAGTGAGAGAGATGCTAGAGGATCTGGGTTTTGGTGAAAACCTGTTCCCAGAGAAACTGTGCTTGACATGGACATCTGCTGGCAAGAGCAGATCAGACCAGGAAGACCAGGGCAGCAACTTGTGGCAGAGAACAGCACTTTAGTAACAGAGTCCCTGAAGCTGACAAATGACAAAAACATTCAAGGAAATTGACTTACCACAAGCTGCCATCACATATCTGTCTGTTGGTGGGAAATCAGAACTGTTTTAAAATGTAGAATCTGACAATGAATTTACCCACTTAACTGCCAATAAACCAGCAAGTCATACTCACGGAATGGTTCTTATTTATTGCAATGTCAATGTAACTAAGAATGAAAAATAAGGCTTGATGGGGGTGGGGGAGCATTCCTCATCAACAGGGTTCTGATCTTGATTCACAAATTAAGCTGATTTATGAAGTGGGGAATGGGGGTGCAGGTGAGGAGTTGAGGGGGCGGTTGAAAACACCACAATGAGAAAATTGATCTTTTTATCTGTGCCTGTTTAAATCTGTGATCACACAGAGAGTAACTGATAAGACAGGAGCCATGTGGTAGGCAACCAATACCAATAAAATGACCCCAAAGATCTAGATCTCCGGTATTCACACCCTGGTGTAATCCTGTACCCTGGAGTGTGGCCTGGATTTATGGGTTCCTTTCTAGCAAACAGAATGTAGCAGAGGCCACGACGTCACTCCTGAGGTTAGGTAACAAAAAGACCGTGGCTTCTGTCTTGGGCACCATCTCTCACTCACTTACTCTCTCGCTTTCTCACCCTGGGTGAGGGAAGGCAGCTGCTGTTTTGTGAGCCGCCCTATGGAGAGGCCCAGGTGGCAAGGAACTGAGGGCAGCTCAGGCCAACATCAACAGACTGGTAGAGCACACAGTGAAGCCACGTCCGTAATCCCTGACCCACAGAAACTGGGAGATAATGAACACTGTTTTAGCTGATGAGTTTTGGGGTAATTTGTCATGCAGCAATAGATAGCTACTACAGGCTAATTCCTCCCCATCTGTCAGAGAAGATCTGAAATCCACCCTAACTATTTTATTATTAAGTGGGGGTCCCAAAGTGAACATCCCAAAAATTGCTTGGGTTTATTCACTGGTTAAATAACATTTGCTTCTTGACCCTCTGATACTAATAATTATAATTTATTACTCTTCTGTTTCAGTTGCTGAGACCTCTAACGGCTTAGATTCAAGCACTGATTGTGTTATTAAATAAAAATGCTTTGAGTCTGGTCAGAATCCATTAGTGCTAAATGCCTATACCAGGATGAATAAAATGGGAAAATTAGAAGAGCCTGTACCTGCTTGGAGGCAAAACCTTCTCTTCCATGTGGAAATCATGATTCATCCCAATCTCCTTGCTCAGCTTGGAAACATCACTAACTGTATCTATCAGACCTGTGACAGAAAGAACATATGAGGTACACCTGAAACTAATGTTCTATGTCACTTATACCTCAACTGAAAAAAAAGAACTTATGGGGGACACCAGTGAACTCAAAGAAGTCTGAATTTCTATTTTATTCAGAGATTCACTCCACTGAGTAGGCTCCAAATTGAGATTCATCACAGTGACTTTATACACGCTCATTCGACCATTCCAGTCAGTTATGTTTTCTGAACTCTAGGCCCCATGACAGAGCCTCTCAGTAGCCCAGCATGGGGGTAAGGGAGGACAAAGAAGCTATCTTATAAAAAAACAAAGTGAAACTGATTAAAAGCCTTTCTCTTAAGAAATAAAATAATGAAGTGGCAAAGAAATAATTTGCGATTTGCAAAAATAATGTTTATCTAAGGATATTATGATTCCACTCTCCTCTTCCTGCCTCTGATGGAAGTTAAATTCTCCACACAGAGGGTACTGAATGGCGTCAATCTCACTTCGTCTTCTAAAGTAGTTTCCAGAATTTAGGATTTCACAGACTAGTAAATATCCAAAAAGATTTTGAGCAACTGACGACAGCTTGCCAACTTTTTGTTCTGTCAGGTATGGATAGTATGAAATAAGCAAATAAAAAATCCACTGTAGGTACTTCCCTGGTGGAGCAGTGGTTAAGACTCTGTGCTCCCAATGCAGGGGGCCCTGGTTCAATCCCTCGTCAGGGAACTAGATCCCACATGTATGTCACAACTAAAAGTGTGCATGCCACAACTGAGGAGCTGGTGAGCTGCAACTAAGGAGCCCGCAAGCCGCAACTAAGACCTGGTGCAACCAAGAAAAAAAAAAATCCACTCTACCACCACCAAAACCATTTCATAAAAGAAAAAGGATAGTTTAAACTCCCAAAAAGCGGAAAGGGAATACAGTCAGAAAAAAGACTAGTCCTGAAAACTGAATCAATTTAGCTTTAGGAAAAACTCATTACAATATCTTTATTTCATTTCACACAGTATGCTAAGAATTTGTCACAAACCAGCTCTGGCATTTGGGAATCACTATTCTAAGTTCTTAGTACAGACCTACCTGATAGCATTCTTACATAATTGGCGTACATGGTAGTTATTATTACTTGGTATAAAAGAGCTGCACACAATAAATCATATTTTCTCACTCTCTTTCAATGAAGCTTCAAAATCTGTTCACAAAAAAGTATTTGGCTCCAAGATGTGGAGGGGATATAAATGAACTAAGATTGGCCATGAGTTGATAATTGTTGAAGTTGGGTGATGAGTAAATGGGGGTTCATTATTCCAATCTCTCTACTTTTGTATATGTTTAAGTTTTCCATAAGCAAAAAGGTTTAAAAATGTAAAAAGGAAAAATTGCAGAAAAGAGGTTTCATAGGAGAATGCCTTTGTTCTTAGAAGAGACATGAAATATTTAGAGGTAAAGTCATGACTATAACTTCAAGAAAGAAAAAATACATACGTAAAATACAATAAGAGAAAAAAACAGTGTGGCAAATGTTAATGTGGGCATTCGTTGTTTTTTTTTTTACTTTTCAACAGATTTTAAATATATCGAAATAAAAAGTTAAGGGTAAAAGGTGATTGTAAAATTTACCAAAAAGCCACCAGCAGAGTTTCCGTTTAGGTAAATGTAAAGGTGAACTGAACCTTAGGTGGACGGGAAGTTCCCTTTATTTTTACAGTCTCTCTGAAGTCTTCAGTTTTGGCCAAAATGGCAAAACACAGTCAAATATGCAAACAGACGTACTGCTAATTCAGTAATGCAAAATCAGAACAAAGAGAAAATCTTCAAAGGGAGATTGAGCTGCTTGTAGCAGCTTATTGAAGGACTGAGGAAAATACACAGAAACACTTCCCAATTACAACAAACCAAAGCTCATAGCCTGCTTTGACAAGATTGTTCTGTCGCTCAAAAGTACCATAGCACTATGCAACTCCTACAGCTGTAAAATTCAGGAACAGGGAGGGTTCAAAGAGAAATTAGAGGTAAAAAGTAACTAAAATAGATTTTTAAAACCCAGATCCCAAGGACAAAGACATTTTCAAGATAATTTGGTAACTTAACCAAGTCAACCTGATATATAAAATTTCGAAATTATTAAAAAAGAGGAGTTTGGTTATTCAGGTTAGGGAGTTGTATTGCCTAAAGCAGGATTCCAAAGCACCCCATTTGCTGCTTTTCCTTAACCAGCAGCGACCCCGTGTGGCTACAAGAGAAAGAAATGCGATTGAATTTAAAGAATTTAACGCAGGTTGTTGCACGTGGACAGGCCTTCAGATTGATGACTGCTGAAATTGCCTGGTGATTATTACAAGGGAAATGCTGGATGAGTCCCAGTGAGATCAGACGTAAAGTGTGGAAGATACTTTGTGCCCCAATAAGAACTATAAAAGAACATCTCTTATAGTATGAGCTAGAGTATGAGGCCAGAGCAGCATTACTAATGCAGTCAACGAAGCACCGAGAAAACACAATGCCCATCTGGGACCATTTCCGTTCTTTAAAATCTACCCCAGGTGTCTGCCATTTTCCACCTACAAATTCAAAATAAAAGAATACAAAGCTGGCTCTGGACTGACTCAACCTCACATCTTGTCAGATTCAAGAAATCGCTCTTGGGTCACATCTTTCTCCAGGACTACAAACTCTGAAGATCTTCTGGTCAACAGAGGGCCTGGGGCCTGAAAGTAGCGATTGGGGGCGGGGGGGGGGGGAATGAGGAAAAAGGGGGATAGAGAAGTGCGGCGCCGCGGGCTTCTTCCCACCTGACCTACACTAAGCACCCCGAGGGCCGGGGCCGGCGGGGCTGGACCTACTGAAAGGGTGGTTCTTGGGGCTGCTCATGTCTTGCCGGGTCGGTCCTGAGGTTTCGGGCTTACAGGGCCCGCTCTCTGCATCGCCAGGGTCCTTCAGGGGCATGTTTTCCTCCACGTCCGTCATTTTGCTGATGGAATCTGGGTGGGGGAGAAATGGGGCGCTGTGGGCGGCGAGGAAGGGGGCTCTCCAACTACCGAAGGGGTCTGGGGCCCGGCCAATCGCGCCCGACCTGGACAAACTAAGAGGAGGGTGGACCGCTTCACCGTCTCTCGGGGACCGACATGGGCAGAGGAGACTGGAGGAACGGCGCTGGGGAATCACAGAGAAGTGAGTGCTGGCTACGCAACCAGGAAACTGAGGCCAGAGGGGCGGCCTGCTCGCCCGAAACGCCCGCCCCAGGCCCACCCGGGCTCCAGCAGCAGGGGGAGCCCACGGCGCTCAAATTCCAAGCCCCTCACCTCCTCCACGGCGACCAACCACCACTGCGGAATCGGGCGGGCTCCGGCGCACCTCTAGACTGGGGCCGTACCACCGCGGCTGGGCAGCGAGGGGCGACGGCCGTGCGGGGCCGACCCGCGCGCACCCCCCGCCGCCGTGCCATGGTGGGAGAGTCCGGGATTTGAACGTAAACCGCCGCCCGTCTCCGGGGCAACGGGGAGGGGCACGTGCCGGCCTCCGCCGGCTTCTCTGGTGGAAGCGGCCGGCTAGTGCCTCGGTCCTCGAGGGCTCGAAGCCTCCACAGGCCTTTGGTTAACTGGTCCCCGGGTCCCTTCCCTGCTTGACATCTCCCGCCCCCCACGAAAAAGATCACCTGAAACTACTTAGGAAGGGAAGGAGCACCATGTTTTGTTTCTCTTCAGCCTGTTCATAAAACTTGAGAACCACACCCAGGCGGGTTGTTTCCTTAGCACATCCTGGGCCCATTGTGAGAGGTGGGCCCTTCTCCCATTCTCCAGGTGTGGAAGCTGAGAAACCGTGCCAGGTGCTTGTCGGAGCGGGCGCGGGGACTGGGAGGCAGTGTAGGCTCCTCCCACTGAATTCCTGGCCACGGGCTCATCTGTGGCTTGCGGGCTGATCCCGCCGCTCCAGGCCGCAGGTCACCAGGCCTTTCTTGGTTCCTGGTCAGCTCTGTTGCCCCTGGAGTGATGTGAGGACCTGGAGTGACCCCTCCTCTCCAATCCCTGCACTTTGGGGGAAAAAATGAAAAGGAAGTTTCCGTTCCACATTCTCCCATCCTTCTTTATTACTTTGACTTGATTTCTTACCACAAAAGCTTACTTTAAAAATAAATAAATAAAAGATGAAAGTATTGCCTGTAAGAAACCAAGTTCTCATTATAACCCTTGCCTTGTTAGTGTGGAATGTGGATCTTTCTTGCACAACTCCTATAGTTTGAAGGGGAAAATTATGAAGAGATCCAAGAACATTTCTGCTTAAGAAAATCCACTTCACTCTGAGGCCCAGGCAGATAGGAGGGGAATGGCCTAGCAAATTTACGTTTAGCCAGAGTATCTCAAATCAATACACACTAAATTTGCCGCTTCCTCCCCATCACCCTTTCCTAGTGTTTCCCTCAGGGATGTCAACTGTGAAGCAGGCTGGCCTACACCCCAAAGCCAGAAGTGGGAGGAAGTTGTCTGACTGCAGCAAAGAGTTAAATGAAAATATGATTCTTCATTATTACAGGGATATATTTAGATTGGGTTGTTGATTTCTCTATTAAAAAAAATTTTTTTTTTCCAGAATTCTGTTTGGGCATTTTTATTTCTGGGAGAAAGTCTCCAGAATGACACCAGTTTGTTTTCCCACAAAAATGGCATTGCCATAAAACTTGCCCTGCTGATGCCTGAAATTATGAGAGTAGTTCATTCATATACATTACACAGCCCCTTTAAGCGTCCTCTTCTTACCCAAATTCTCTGGAAGGGGCAGTAGGAAGAAATAGCAGTGTGGGAGCATGTGGAAGAGGGGAGGAGACAGGCCAGAAGAGGAGGAAAGGATGGGGGTAGGAGAGACAGAACTGGACTTTTCTCAGGGTCAGCGTGGGGACAGCATTTCATGATCTTATCTTTAATAGTTTTCAGAACCAACTAGGCAAAAGTTAGAGGTTGAGGAGAATAGAAAGATGATGTGAGAGATAAACTCTCCTTCACTTTGGGGTCTTAGTTAATAATAACTGATTTTTGTTTAATGATCTACAAAATGCTTTTACATTGCAAATGTAATGTATACGCTCTGCATGCAATCCTACCTGTTCAGTAGGCAAGGCAGGTGTTATATTGGACCATTTAATAGATGAGCAAGCTGGGGATCAGAGAGATTTCAGGGAGTTTCCAAAAGTCACACGGCAAGCAGGGTCTTGACTCTTGATCATATACTTTTTATTAATTCACACCACCTCCCTAACTCTGGCTGAGAAGCTATATAAAAAAGAAAATATAACTAACATATAATGGTACGGTAAGTCCCAGAATGGAGTACAAATAAGAATTGCTACTGGAGGTCAGAGAAAGGGTGAGAGACCTTCCAGATGTTTGGATCAGTTCAAACCCAGCCATGAGCCAGAATCCTAAGCAAGACTGTGTAACCGATTTGGTCTTTAGAAATGGGTCTCTTGTTCAGCCTGGCTGCCCCCCCAACCTCAGGACCCCTCTTTAAACTCTCCTAATGGGTGAAAATGGATTTTCCACATATGTCCATTCTTTGGCAGGAGTGGCCCTCCTGAGTAACTCAACACCTTTACCCTATTTAAGTGCACATATTTCAAAAGACCCATAAGGCAAGTATTTCTCAAACAACCCAAGGGCAGAGGTAAAGGCCACGTTTCCGCTCACATCACAGTGTGCCCAAAGCTGTCCACCCCAGGGTTCCCCTTTTAAACTAAGATGTCATATGTTTGTTTTAACACTGAAGTCTATTTTCTCTCCTCAAATCTTCGAGTAGAATTCTTGTTCGAGGAGGAAGGGCTTCCTGTACTTGCTGGCACACCTCTGTACCCCTATGGGTGCATATACCCCAGGTTGAGAAGCAGTCTAAGGGAATTTTAGGCAGCAGCTAGAATTTTCCTACTTCTCCACCATTTCCCCACATATGTGCGCTTTAACCCAAGCACAATAGTACGATCTATCCTCATTTGTTAAATACTATCCTGTACACCACCCCACAAGAGCAAATTATACAGAAAGTTGATCTTACCGCAAAGACATTCTGAAAGAGGGGTGGATATAGAGAAGGATGTCAGAGAAGCACTCCTAGGTGGCTGTCTGTAAGAAGTAGAGAAGCACAGGGATTAAGAGGAATCCTGAATATGGATCCGCTAGCTAAAACAAAATAACAAAAACAAAAAATGCCTCATTTTACACAGAAGCATCTTAGGCTCAGTGAGGTTAAATGACTCTGCTAAGGTCACCACCAGTTTACAGAAAATTCAGGACTAGAACCCATATCACAGTCTGTTTATTCCATAATATATAGAGCTAAGCAAGAGTAAAAGCTAATACTGTAAATAAATATTTACATTTCCTAAAGAAAAATGTAAATGATAGACCATGGAATGGAAATAGTAAGAGATGATGTTAAATAGAGGCCTGGACTGCAAGTAGAGTAGAGTATACTGGAAGATAAACAGTCAACTAAAGTGGTAGGGACACATAAATACAGGGTGGGACATTTAAATGGAACCATTTGGAGTCGTGTAAACTGGGATCGACTTCATCATAACCTCCCTTATGGTACAGAACCACACGTCAAAACTATTTGCTTTAGTCTTTTGACAAATGTGTTTTCTTCGCGGAACCCAGGAGGAGGGTGAGAAGGGTCAAGGTAATCTGGGGGCAGTCCGGACAAGGCCCTTCAAAGCTCACAGGGAAGTGTGATGGATGGGAAACCATCACAGATCTTTTCAGGGAAGGGGGCTTAAAGAGAAGACAAAGAAGATGCTGGCAGCAGTGCTGACAGCCTCCTTCTCCAGTCCTGCTCCTTTCTGCGTCGGGGTCTTTGCACATACTGTCCCTTCCTCTAATCTCCGGTTACCTCACTGACTCCCTCTCATTCTTCAGGTCTAACTTACGAGGCCTAACTCCCTCACAGAACCTTCCATGGCCCTTGGTTAGCGTCACTCAACACCCATTCCTTTTTCTTCATAGCAGTCACCGCAGTTTGTCCTTACACATTTGTGCATGATGAGTAACTCCATCGGGAGACTGTAAGCTCTCTGAGAGCAGGAACTGTGTGTGCTTTATTCACAGAGTAGGTGCCCTGCCAATAACTGTCAAATGAACACACAGGCACAAACAGGAGAGGCAGCGGTGCTGAGGGGTCTCTCTGGGCCCAGTGTTGGTTATCAGTGTCTGTCTTTCTCTTTTGTCTCACAGACATGTTTCCTCTCTTTCTGTGTCTCCTCTCTCCTTAGCTTCCTGTAAGTCTTTTAAACCAGCACAGGCAACGTCAGAGAGAAAAGGGAGGATGTTTAGGGTCCTGTGACAGGGGGTCCCCCTGAACTGGGAGGTGGCAGCAGGGGGCAGTGGCACCCCGGGAGTAACTTGCAGAGGCAGGCTTCTGCTGAGGGAGAGGGAGGCCCTCTCTCTCTCTCCCTCTGTAGAGCAAGCCAGGGTCAGCAGCAGCCCAAAGCCACAAAAACTGACTTTCAAAGTCCTCCTAAGAGCTGCATCTTTCGACTCCCCCAAACAATCGTGCCTTGTGCCCCAGGACACAGCGTGAGTTACACACTTAAAGCAGTTTCCACAGAACCGCATTCAGTTGGTTTTAAACTCTGGGGAAAGCTGGCAGCCTCTTTGTGGGTTTTTTTAAAAAACTAGTTAGAGGGACAATTAAACCTTTATGGGCCCCAGAATGTACCTATGCAGACATAAATAAGGATCATTCTTCATCACCGGAGAGAATCCACTTTCTGGCAACAGATATATTTTTCTGCCATCGCAGGACAGAGTTGCGCTCACGACTGAGGGCCTTTGTGATTAGGGCAGGTGACAGGGGTCAGCGTGAGCAGAGTTAGAACTTGGACCCTAAGTTCTCAAAATGGACACATCGCAGGCCTCGGGCTTAGCTGTCTGAAATAAATCACAAACTCCCAAAGCCTTCCCAGAAAGCCGCCAGGATTTTAGGCCAAGAACA